TGAGAGACATGAGACTGAACAATGCTGAAGAGCTGAAGGCCGCTATTGAAGCATCCTGGTCTTCTATAACACCTCAGCAGTGCCACAGGCTGATAGCTGCCGCATTTAGGCAGTAATTGCTGCAAAAGGGGCCCAAACAAAGTACTGAGTACATATGTATGCTTATACTTTTCAGAGGTCTGATATTGTTCTATGTACAATCCTTGTTTTATTGATTGCATGTAATATTCTAATTTTCTGAGATTGTGGATTTGGGGTTTTCATGAGCTGTAAGCCCTAATCATCACAGTTATGCCAAATCACAGCATGAACTATCTTGCTTTGCATGTAATGAGTCTATCTCATATATTAATTTCACATTTTAAGTTGCATTACAGAAATAAATGAACTTTTGCACAATATTCTAATTTTTTGAGTTTCACCTGTATATTTTAAATGACCTGGGTGCTATTGCCCTCTGTTTGGTGGTTTGAATTATTTAACTAATACTGTATTTTTCATTTTTTTATCCTATATGGTTTATTGTATGTTTATATTTTTAGTTGGAAGTTACAGTGGAGGTCTTGGGATCAAAAGGTAGAGTGAAATTCTCCCATACATAATTAAATAATTTTTTAGGGGAAGAATGTATTGCAGAAATATCAAGGCAGAATTAATAGCTCATGACAAGGATGTAGCAGAAAAAAAAAGTCCAAGAATATATAGAATGCCTAAAATCACGAAAAGCTGTTATATTCATTTGTTTTGCACACTTAAATGGCAGAAGCTGAAGTCGCTCTCATTAATTAGTCATGAACCTGGGCCAGGCACTTTCACTCAGCTGGAATACCTCATATCACATGAAGTAAAATATTGGGAGGACAGAGAACAACCAGGTAAGCGGCCCTGACCTTCTAGGGGAAAACCTAGGACATAATGTAATAACTTATAAGTAAGTTCCTTTTGTAAGCAGAAATGTTTTCAACAGTTTTGTCAATGTGTTAACAATTGAAACACCACCAATACAATGTAGGAAAGTGGTCATTTCTAGATATCTGATGTCCTTTAGATTGTTCACTTACAGCTTTCCATCAATGGAATTGATAAGGGATAATCCAATATTACTTTGATTCTGTCAAGTATTAGCCATACAATTGTTCAATGTCATCTCAATTTTGTGATTTTATAGAAAAAGAAAAAAGAAAGGTGTAACAAATATTACTACAGGTGGTATTCCTTTCTTGGAGATGTATCCACTTGGGTTTTGAGAATGCCATTAGTCACGAACCCAGGCCATGAGAGGTGGGATAGCTATTGTTATCTAGAAAGTCCCATTAGCTTTCAGAAATATTGCACCACAAATGTCCAATGATGAGATCCTGTGGTTGAAGTCAGGTTGTATGGAGAAGTGGTTTGACCGCTGCTGTACCATTGCTGTACCAATATCTCTGCCTGACTCCATTGCAACTTACTGATGGAGCTTCTAACCACTTCTAAGCACTTTAATTTTCTCTTTTATAGTATAAAGTCTGGAGTGGCTCATGAGTACATAACTATCAGAGCTACCATGGACATAGCCTAAGTTACTGAGAGTCAAACACATATAAATAGTCATATTTTGGATCTGATTTGTATATCAGGGCAGTTGCAATGTAATCTGAAGGTAGAGGATATTGTGATTATATTTATCTGGAATGCCAGCTGAAGTGTTTCCTGGACTTAAGAGTTCCTTCCCAGAAACATGCCTTGGTCACCTTAAATGAGGATTATTGCAATGCATTTGCACACCAATCACTTTGAAACTACAGTTGATCCAAAATGTGTCAGCATTCTTTTTGGAATAGTTGGAATACATCAATCCCAATGTCCCTTAAATAGATCTTGAAGATCTGTTTTCCCCCCCCCAGGTTCTGACTTATGTGTGCCCACTTAAATTGCATTATTTCTAATATGTTGTGATCCATGCTTTGGCTATGGCCATCTTATTTTCAAACTGATATAGTCTATATTATAGGCTTTTGTTTTTAAATTGTATGTGACAAAGAATCTTGAGATTAATGGCCTTATAAATTTAAATTATATGTTACACAATAAGACATAAGTTGTATGGAGTCAAGACTTATTTGAAATAAACACTTTTTTTCATTTCTAGACATTCAAGAGAAATCATTTTGTTTTACTCTGTATATTTTATGAATATTCATTCTATATTAATAATGTTGTGTATTAGGATTCTATGGGGTTGGAAAATAATTCATAAGAAATCTTTTGGACCTCAGGCAAGAATATCCCATCTTTACTACCTATGAACTTCCCCATTTTAAAAGTTTTTTGCATGAGCATGAAAAAGATGCAATGGCTCTGAACAGTTATAACAACTGCATTGACTGTTTCCTTAAAATAGTATCTTTTTTATAAAGGATGTCAAGGCAGCCTGGAAAAAGTCAGACTGCTCTAATGAAGAGCAGAAAGCATTAATGTGAGGTCTGAACTTTTTCTTCCGAATTAGCATGCTCAGCCTTTCCCTATATTATTCAAAACTATTCAAATCAGAAAGATGTCACAATAATCAGGATTTGACACATAAAGCTAAAGTAGGCACCATTTTTAATCACACGTAAAGCCAAATCTGATTCCTGGAAATAATTTATTCTTGCAGGAATTCAGTTGAAACCACAGTAGGTTTTAAGATGAGATTCCAAGGATCTGAATTGTTAACAAGGACTTGCAAAGAATATGATTTCAGAGGGAGAAGAAGGGAATATGGTTTACTTTAGAACTTTTAGAGAAGGGAAGAAGAAATGAAATGCAGCTACTCTGCAAGTAGTAAGGTGAAATAAACCACCTTAGAAAACAGATTTCTGATTTTATTAGAAATATTAAATTGCATGTAATTGGAGTCATAAAGGGCAGAATTTAGCTTTATGAAGACATAATAATGTTCCTGTACAATGAAATTATGATCGCACTCTGACCCTGGCTGTGAATGTTCTTGATATCCATGTTTTTGGAAGATGTTATTGAAATAAGTGCTTCCTTGTGTAGGTGAACATTGCATACCCCAGAGAGAGAATGAATATTAGTTATCCTAAGGGACCAAGAATGATACCAGTGGTGGTATTCAACCGGTTTGGCCCAGTTCTGCAGAGCTGGTAGCAGTGATGAGCAGCAGAGACTGAACCGGTTCTCTCCTCCACTCTGCTGTTGGCCCCACCCACCTGCCCAGGTTCCCATACTCACTTTTATCCTCTAAATTTGAACTGCAGCTGCTTTGTGCGGTATAGAAGAGTGTCATGCGGCAGCTGCTGAAGTGACCAGGATTGTGCAGGCTTGCAAGAGGTGAGTTAGAAAGCCTCTGCACCTGCGCAAATGGCTCTGCACCTGCGCAAAGTGCACATTTGGCACGCAAACGCACGCAAAGTGTGTGCACGCGTGCAAAGCGTGCCCACCAAGCCACGCCCACCGAACCGGTGGCAAAACTATTTGAATTCCACCACTGAATGATACATATAGCATTAATCCCGGTGGCAAAACTATTTGAATTCCACCACTGAATGATACATATAGCATTAAAAGAAGGTGGATGTGCAAATAAATTAAGATATCTACATATGCTGATGAAAAAGGTAAAATATTACATTGAAAGAAAAACTAAGATTATTTTTAATCAGCATCTTGAAATGTTAATGAAAAAAGATAAATAAATCCATATGGGATATTGGATAAAACCAAAGGCTTAATTTAGACTTCAGTGAACCCTATGAGGTTTATATTTGGATGCTTTTGCATCTACAAAGCTAAAATCCATCTACAGTCAATTACATTACTTTGTGGCATATAAAGATTCTGCCAAACTTAAATTAAGAATAATTTAATCTTGTAGTACATTTTAAAATAAGTTAATTGTACTGGGCCTAGGCATATTTTGTTATTCTTTTGAGTAAGTCATCATACATGTTATCACAAAACCTGTTTTACACAGAAGCAGAAGGTGTTAGGAATGATAGTCACCTAACAGTTGGTTTGGCAATATATAAACCAGGATAGTTATTTAATACTGTTGTATCTTTAAGAGAGTGCTGTAATTGTGATTGGCTGAGGTTCCTCCAATGACCATAAGATGGAGCCAGAAACCTGGTTTGTTCTCTTCTTGCATTTCCCTATTGCCTTTTGCCTGATTGTCGTTCTTCTGGAATTGCTGTGAGTCTTGCAAACTGTTAGCAAATTCCATTTACTGAACTTTGTTTATGATACTGGACTTTGTTTTTGGATTATCCCTGGACTGATTGTATTGAATACTACCTGCTTTAACTGTGTATGATTTGGACTGTTTGTTGGACTTTGTTTACCTGTTTACAGGAAGTAAAACCTACATTTTACTATTCAGTGTATCTGTATGCTGGTGGTGTGTTATTCCTCACCACTCTCACTATGTTTTCCTGAGTGAACTCATTCTCCTAACGGGGAATACCTCAACAGAAGGTATGCTCAAAATATGAACATCTAACACAACTGTTCTTCAGATATAAGGCCCTGCTATAAAGATGGACATCTTCCAGAAATGTAAGTAGGTGCTTCAATCACCTCTAGCCAGCAAGACTAAGGCCGTTGAAGGAAGATGAGAATTGTAATTCTAAAACAACTGAAGGAAACTAAATTGGTAAAGATGAGGGTAGAGACCATATGGCTCCTATAGATGTGGCTATGTTTATTTAAATATGAAAATACTGGGATTTATGCTAGGATGAATGTTTATTGGTTTGGAACAAAACCATAAACTTTCTTTAGTCTCATTGTTTTACAAGACATATTATTTTCAGTTCCTCTCTGTAACTGTAATTGTGGAAGGAGTGGAAGGTTTTGTTAGAACCAAATGCATAAATGAAATTCCCTCTTTTATTCTTCTCAGCTATATCTGTGAACTGTGACATGTATCTGTTTATTAACCAAGTCATTTGTAACCAAGGTTATAGCTATTATAAAGTATTTATACCGAGTATAAAGAAAGACTAAGAACTGACCTTGAAGGAGCTGCAGGAGGAACCCGAATTCCTCTTCCTCGAATACTTCGCCCACGAGGTGAGTCCTCTGAACCATTTAAATACGACAATTCTCTCAATTGCTCTTGGCGGATTTCATCATTATAGTCCTAGGAAAAAGGAAGCAATGGAACATCTGTCAGCTTTACCACTGAAGTTCCATTCCTCCTCCCAGATTAGCTAATTTTAACTTTAAGATGATTTTCAGAAAACTTAAATGACTTCATTGCTTGGTACAGTACTTTAAAAAAAGCAAATAATGTTTAACCCATATCATGCAGGTAAGCAAAATGTAGTCCACAAAGATGGTTTATTGCCACCAAACTAGGCAATGTATGTAGTTAAAAATATATAATCCTTTTCTTGTTGGTCAGGACAGAATCATAGAGCTTGACAGAACCAGCCCTGTTGGTTAGATTTTAGAGTTTTTCGAGAGTCAAGATTCTATTTAAAGTAAGTAGTGCATACAGAGAATAGCTTGTTTCCATCTCCTTCATAGCAACTCCCCTTTGCGTCATGTGAAGAGGAGGGGCTTAAGAATGGAAGAATTGGCAGTATTTTGATCCACTATCCAATTGCCTCACTGGGATGTAGTGAAGATTTAAACAAATATATATTCCACAATCTTTGACCAGCTGCAGCCCACTTGTGAATTTATTTTTTTCTTTGATGGTTTGTTCCACTACACCAAATTGAGTGCCTTCTGTTCTGTTTGCAGAGAGCTATCCTGCTAATGAACAGACAGAATTCCAGATTCCCTTTAAAAAATATTTTTAAAGTTCCATTTGGTTAGAAAGAATGAAAAGAATCATTCATGCTGTATAATAGGACAATAACCAAATGCCTATCTCTGATTCATTGTTTAGCTGAATGGAATGAAAAAAGCAGAAACACATCATCACTTTGCAATGCAAACTTCAACCTTTATGTGTTTCCATGTGATGTCAATGCAAGTATGAAAGGTAGAACTTGCATGGTGACATCATGCTGCATATTTCTGTGCCATTGTGTCTAGCTGTACTTAGGGTGCCAAGGGGGTTGGCACATGTAACTGCTATCTAGCTTGGATCCTTTACAGGAAACAAAAAAAAAACCCTCATCAGTATCTTAATTTAGTTGCCCTGGTTGGGCAAAGTACATTTGCAAAGGGAAAGAAGTCTTCTGGAAAAAAGTCAGAATTCCATTGACCAGCTTTTTGATGAAGATGCAGCTTTGCTCCCTGTGACCACTGGACTTTTCCAGAGCGGTGGGCAAACTTGATCTCTCCTGGACAGGATTCCCTCTTAAGTGGCAGGATGGAATTCTAGCTGGGTTGTGACTTGCTGCAATACTTGATGTTAGAAAGCATCGGTGCAATGCGATTCCATAGAGATAATCAGACTAAAGAGAATGAATCTGGCATGGTGCAAGTGTAACTTGTTACCTTGCCAACACGCCCACCCCATCTATTTGCTATTGTAAAACTGATTTACAATTATTTGCATGCCACTTACTTGACTGACTGTGGGCAGCATACAAAATCAATTAAAAGTCTAGCGCTCATAAAATTCAGCATTCAACATCCATACTTTTAAAGGAAAGCAAGCAAGTTGACCAGTGTTTGCACTATTTGCACCTGCGCCGCCTGTGGTCCTATCTAAGCATATTACACAAAATTGTCTATTACAACGTCTTACCTGTCAATGACTTCTTCAGTCTCAATCACAATAATACACAGGCAGACAACTGATACAAACTCAAAGTAAACTGCTCCAACTGGATTGCAGAAAATACGATTTCAGCAACAGAGTGGTCAACGTCCGAAACACCCTACCCAACTCCATTGTTACAGCCTCAACCCCTTACAGCTTCAACCCCAAACTGTCTACCGTGGTCCTCACCCCATTCTTAAGATGTCCTTAAAGAGGGCATGCATAAGCGCAACAGTGTGCCTACCGTCCCTGTCTTACTGTCCCCATTTATCTGTATTTACTCCCTTTGTTCTTGTTTATGTTCATATCTATACTTGTTATCTTGTACATGTATGACAAACAAACAAACTAATAAATAAATATTCATCTGTGCCTTATTTAGAGACTTAAACCTGCCTGAATCATGCAGAGAGCTATTTTGCTTTAATCTGCACCATATAAATCTCACAACTTTGATTCATCTCCTATTACAATGAATTTCTCACAGCACAGATTCCATGCATCTCCGAGATTTTAAAATGGCATTATTAATTGTAAAACATTAGAAATCTAAGTGACATACAATGCAGCCTATCAAATAAATCTCAGTGCCTACTTCTTCACAATCGTGAAGCAGAATCTTGGACTATTTCTTCTGATAAAATAATTCAGTTTGGTGTCCTTCAAGAAAGGGTGTAGCAGTTCTGCAATGTGCAAGCATTCCTCTCTTGATTCTAAAGGCTTATTGGAAAGATTAATGCATTTCTTGGCTTCATCTAGGAGCTGAAACAATATGCTTATTTATATCAGCCTTCTGTGCTGAAAATAATAAAAACATTTTAAATGGCATGTCTTATTTCTGTCCAAATGACACAAATAATTATGTACAAAGCAAAAGGTAGTTTCCAGAGCAGCACTTTTTGATTGCAGCTTTGAAAATCATAATAATCATTCATTTGCTGCTGCTGAGGTTTACTTGGAGAAATTGGCATAATCTGTAGTCAACCTAGTTAAATAAATAGAGGAAAATATGTATCATTCTGATTGCCATTCAAAGAAATTATAAAAAAGACAGGTGTACTAAATGATGAGCTCCAAGATAATTCTACTAAAAAGACACCCCAATCAGTTTCTTTTAGTTAATATTATTTGCATTTTCAGATGGAATTCTTCTTTTGTTGTTATTGTTTTTCAGAATTAGAAGGAATCTCATTCTTTGGATTTATTTTCTCTGATGATGCCCCAGTAATGATGGCAATGATGTTCCTAATTCAGTATATTTTAGGTTTAACTTTTATAATTATATCTTGTGTTTGTTGTTGGTTTATTATTATTGTTTATATTGTATTTTGCTCAGAGTCATACCGTCTGAGTTGCATGGCTTTATATCTTTTAAAATAAACAAATATCAGAATTTTAATTGCATAGTACTGCATCCTAAGAACCAAGCAGCACAAAAATTCACGTGCTACTTTCCCATTGCCATTACAATGTGAAATTCTCTCAGTTTTTCCACTTTGTGATATAAAGCAGCTGATATAAGAGTAATAGTATCCCATTTCTGGAACTGTGAAGCAATCAATTTGTAAGTTTATCTTATTTCAAAAAGACAATTCATTGACAAATGGATATATTGTCTGTATCTGGCTATGAAACTTGCTCAAAAATATTAGGTATAGGGAACACCCAGGCACATGTATTCAGGTTGCCCTTGACTTATGACCACAACTGGGGCCAGGATTTCTGTTGCTAAATGAGTCATACCCAATTTTACATCTTCTTTTGCCATGGTTATTAAGCAAATCACTGCAGTTGTTAAGTGAAACATGCAACTGTTAAGTGAATTCAGCTTTCCACATTGACTTTGCTTGTGGGAGGATGGCTGGGAAGGTCTCAAAAGGCAATCACATGATTCCAGGATTCTTCAACCATTATAAATATCTGCTGGTGTGCTAAGCCTCTGAAATTTGATCACCTAACTGTGTGGAGGCTATGACGGTTGTAAGTATGAGGTCTGGTTGTAAGTCACTTTTCTCATTGCTGTTATAATTTTGAATGGCCACTAAATGAATGGTTGTAAGTCAAGGACTACATGTAGTACTTTGGAGACCTAGAACCAAATCTGAGTGTCAACCATCGATAAAATTCCTCAGTCTCTGAGGTAGAAAGCCCAAAGCAGAGAGAGGAATTTATCTTTTCCTGGAAAAGATCCTGAAAGTAATCCATTCAGTCTATTCAGGGGTGAAATAGGCTTGGCTCATGTTATCTAAGTGCATGAATCAGGGCTGTCTGCATATATTTAGTACAACTCTTTGTGATGCCCCAGCATTAAGTGATCTGACTTTTGCCTTCCCTCATGGATGCTTTCTTAGACAATTTTAACCTGATTATCCCTTTTTGCTTTCTTGCTGAACATTGGTTACTAGTAAGGAGAGCCTTTGTTCCTATGAACTTTGACTGTTTTTAAATGTTAGCTTTTGCCTCACAAGTCCCCTTGCTATTGTTTGTTAACACTGAATCAGTATCTTATTATCTTTATTTTGTGAGCCAAGGCGATCTATTGATTTGTTGAATATAAGAACCTACCATTTTGCTATTTAGGGACACAAAATAAATCAGAAAAAATATCTGATGAAAAGAGGTCCATTATGGAAATGGATTTCGAGACTCATTTCTCCTTTTGGCAAATTAGTCATGAAGTGCAATGTCTCATCCCTTCAAAAAATAAGATTTTGAAAAAGACTGATGGACCAGCTTTTCATGAGAAAACGTGATACAGTATCATTGCTTCCTAAAATCCAGGAGAAGATGGTACTTCTGCCCTTTTTCATGTACCAAAGTAAATCAGACTCACAAGTTTCAGAGAATTTTGAGCCATGGCTGAATTTCTGTTCAATTATCATATAGAACCTGGCAGCCGAGTTCATTTTTATTCCCCAAATCTTCAAAAACACTTGGATGGTAATTGATGATTGTCTTCTCTTTAGGACAAGAAGTCAGGAGAACTCTCTCCCCAAGCTGCTACAAGTTGTACAGTAGTTTTTTTTTTTAAAAAAAAACACAGGCTTATTCTAATCTTATCAATTAGCATCCTAGTAGAGCCTGCTCAACCCATGCTGAAGAAAAATAGGAAGCTGACAAATATTATTTTCAGTTTAACTCCTGCTCACTTTGTCTAAGCTCCTGAATGGTGCTCCAAACCTCATAGAGGCTCAGGCGCCAGGAAGTAGGGTGAAAAAAATATGTCTGACACACTTTTGTTCTACATCTTTATGAAAGCCCAAAGATGCTTCTTTAAAGTCCTATGAGAATAGTACATGTGAGATTCCCATAGAATTGAACTTCTAAGAAGAAAAAAAGAAGAGAGAATTACATCAACACAGTGGGATATTTGGCCAGCTGTTTGATTTGGTGTACTATTTGTTACACATAATTATACT